AAACTTATATCAAAAAAGTATTTAAGTGTAAAAGGACAATACATGTAAATACGTATAATCATATGAGATTTATCTCCATTATACCAATTCACATTAAGCTCCGGTTAAAAGGATCTTACTTTTAATTGCATTCCTTCGTACATTGGTACGTGCACTAGTAAATGATTGGTCATAGTGGCAAATAAAATGATATTGCAAAGAACGTACCTATGGAGTTATGCTAATACTGTTATAGTTATTGTGAACTTTTATCCCATAAAGCAAAAGGATGACAGAAAAAAAATGAGTGTGAGCCAATTTTTTACTTATAGTAAACTATTGTATTTTAACCAAAAAGGCCAATTTATTCTCTAATAATGTCCAAGCATCATCACCAACCTCCTCTCAATCTACGTCTGATTTACGCGCCCATCTTAACCCTTCACATGACAAATTTCCACGAGTGCATCTCACACACTCCACTTGAAGTTTGAACCCCCAGAACCACCATCGTCCACGCCAGTTTACAAAAATAGAAAAGAATACCTTAAAATTACAAACGCAAGGAAAATGACAAAAAAATCATGTCTCTGTTATGAAATAATTAAAAGTATGGATGTCCCTTTGTATTCCCAAGAGATTAATTCATGATTTATGATTCCATTATGTATAGAAGTTACAATCCATGAATCTATTCATGTAGTGGAAGAACCGTTTCATAGGTTTCTTCATATTCTTGTAATAGTGGGTGTTTAATAGGATTAATGTTCCTTTAATCTTGTAGTACCTATATATAGAGGTACATTGACACCCTTTGTAAGGACTTTTGGATCTTGTTGGAATACAAGAATATCACTCTCCATTCCTCTACTCATTTCCCTCATATTTCAATTCCGATTATAGTATTTCATTTTATTAGTTTTATAACATGTTATCAGCACGAGTTTCTACTTTTGAGCAAAAGATGAAAACGAAGGCTCTATCTTGAACAAAAGTGAAACACAAGATTTTGTCGAAATTCCGCACACATTTCTTCAAGTAAATTCTAAGGTAAATTTCTAACTCACAAGCTTATTTCAATTTCTTATGGCTAATATTTGAATTATCGCAAAAAATACAAGTGCCTATTGCTGAACAATCACTAAACACAAACATATACTGTTTGACACCTTTGAGGTAATATTTCTTCTTTTAATTCTACTTATTTACATACTTATATTCTGATGCGTTGAGTTTTGGAGATGCTATTATAGAAAATCAATTATACTTGATGATCTACTTGTCCTTTGAAATATTTAAAGAAAAAGATTCGACCACCTGAAGATGGTCGTTCTTTAACGAAAATATTTGGCCACTAGAAGATGGTCATTATTTCAAAAGCCTGGTATGATAAATTTACCTATGGCTACAAGAACATAATTGTGCAATTTTCAGAATTACTTCTCAGTTGAAATTGTGTCGAAAAAATTTTACTCATAAGATATATTGAAAATGATATTCTCCACAATTGATTTCTCTAATATGCTCCTGTAGTAGCAATATTAAGAGAAATTTTGAGAAGTATTTTAGACTTATTGCATGCTAATTCTAGTCCATTCCTAGAAGTGAATGTGACTAAATTTCAATTTATTAGTTATGGTTGATGCCATGACTATGATTTTGGTAAATATATATTTTACCATAACAAAAGAAAAAATTACCACTTGAAGTGGGATAATATTGATGAGGACAAGAAAATAAGAATTCTGAAGATAAATGTCCCGAAGTACATTTGACGAATCAAAATTATAATATCATCTTCACATGGCCAATTTCTTTAAACACCCTGAAGGTGTATGATGATTGATTTAATTAACTTTTCTTCCTGAAGAAGAAATGGATGTTAAATATTTGGGATCAAAGGATTATGGTGATGATATTTGTCCCATAAGAATTATGGTGACAATAATATGTGTCTCATTAATAAGTGCTACTACATATACTATATTCCAGTAAGAGAGACAAACACAATCAATAGTTGTGCTCAAGTGATTGAAAACTCCAGAAGAGTCACTACTATATTTCTCCTTGTAGGAGAAAAATTTATCATAAATAAAGCACTACTTTTTACCATGTCTCGAAAAATTTATTGAATTTGAATATCCAAATTGAGACACTAAATGAGACAATGACAAAGATCATGTTTAGAAATCAAATGAGATAAAGGTTAATTATATCATAATAATCATTCGAGAGAGAAATGATTATCGATATAGTTGTCTTCATTCTCATTTGATTTATAATTATCACCTGCAGTAAACCAGAAGTTTACTGATCCCAATGGATATATGATTTGACAAGGGTGAGAATATTTGAGAGCCGACAAGTATTTATACATACCCCCTTTATATTATATATGGCTCCAAAAGAAATTTAGAATTTATGTCGGGTATGAATCACTTTTTACGATTAAATATCGTAAAATATTTGATGAGTGATCTATTAAATGATTTATTTATTCTGATGAGTTACGATTCCCGATATTAGAGGAAGGAAGAAATCAACCGAAAGGAAATCACCTGAAAAATTGGATTTCCTCGATCCTCATACAAAATAACGTGAACTGGAAGTTCAAGAAATTATTCATTTGCAGAAAATTGCAAACCAGTTGTCAGATATATTATCGACTCCAGAAGAGTTATTAAATCAACTGTTCCTGCAGGAAATACCTTCTTAAAATTGATGTCCCTGAAGGACATGCACAAGTGCTACAAATAAATTTAAGGCCGGCCTACCTAAATAAGGTATAAATTGATTTCAAATATCTCCGGAAATTAAATGTCATGACAAAATTCAACCTCTTGAAGAGGTTGCTCCTGAAGAGCCAACTTATGAAGAGAATAAAATCATAAAAAAAAATTAATTGGAGCCTAATAAAATGTAGCACTTGATATTATAGAAGTTGATGAGGATCATGAATCTAGATCGGTTGATGAATGTCGGTATAGAAATGATTGGAAAAATGGAAAGATGCGATTCAATTTGAATTGGACTCACTGGCTACAAGAAAAGTTTTTGGACCTGTAGTCCAAACACCTGAAGGTGTAAAGCCAGTAGAATATAAATGGGTATTTGTGAGAAAAAAGAAATTATGAGGTATAAAGCAAGACTTGTAGCCCAAGAATTTTTACAAAGGTCTGGATTTGATTTTGATGAAACGTATTCACCTGTAGTGGATGCTATTACATTTAAATATCTTATGAGTTTTGCAGTACATGAAAAATTAGATATGCGTCTAATGGACGTCGTTACTGCATATTTATATGAAAATCTTGAAAATGATATTTATATGAGAATCCCCGAAGGATTCAACATGCCTGAAGCATGCAAATCAAATTCTAAAGATATTTATTCTATTAAATTACAAAGGTCTTTGTATGGATTCAAACAATCTAGACGTATGTGGTATAACCGCCTCAATGAATGTCTAACTAAAGAAGGTTATACCAATGATCCAATATGTCCACGTGTTTTTTATCAAGAAAAATGGATCAAATTTTGTGATAATTGTGGTATATGTTGATGATCTAAATTTAATTGGAACTCCTGAAGAGATTCAAAATATTATTGAATATTTGAAAAAGGATTTTGAGATCAAGAATTTTGAAAAAACAAAATTCTACCTTGGTTTACAAATTGAGCATTTGAAAGGTGGAATTTTTGTCCACTAAACTGCTTATACCCGGAAGGTATTAAAGCGATTTTATATGAATAAGGCACATATATTAAATATTTCAATGGTTGTCAGATCATTAAATCCTAATAAGGATCCTTTTAGACCGCGAGAGGAACATGAAAGAGATACTTGGTCCTGAAGTACCATATCTCAGTGCAATTGGCAAAGAATATTGGAATGCGACGATTAAAAGATCTCAAATGATGTTTGCATCAGGGGGTGAAATTAATACACAAGAATAATGTACTCTTTTTCCTTCACTAGGATTTTTGGTCCCACTGGATTTTTCTCTAGTAAGGTTTTAACGAGACATATTCTTTGTGTAATGGACATCCAAGGGGGAGTGTTATGAAACAATTAAAAGTATGGATGTCCCTTTGTATTCCCAAGAGATTAATTCATGATTTATGATTCCATTATGTATAGGAGTTACAATCCATAAATCTATTCATGTAGTGGAAGAACCGTTTCATAGGTTTCTTCATATTCTTGTAATAGTGGGTGTTTAATAGGATTAATGTTTCTTTAATCTTGTAGTACCTATTTATAGAGGTACATTGACACCCTTTGTAAGAATTTTTGGATCTTGTTGGAATACAAGAATATCACTCTCCATTCCTCTACTCATTTCCCTCATATTTCAATTCCGATTATAGTATTTCATTTTATTAGTTTTATAACGGTCTCCGTTTTGGGTTAGTTTTTGGCGGGTTTCGCTCCACAGTTCACACTTCTCACTTCTCACGCTCGTCCTATAGCCATATTATTACAGCCAACTAAAGCTTTTTACTGCTTTAAAACTTTTCAAAATTTTCATCAAAATCCCGAATTTGTGAATTTTCACTTTATCTCTCTATCAAAAACCCTAGAGGTGGAAAAAATATAGCATCTACGGCTGCCAAAAAATGTGAAGGGTGGGCGGAGAAATTGGCCTATTTTTTCTTTTTTGGGAGTGAAATTTGATCTTTTTCAACAGGAAAATTTGGATTTTTGGTGGAATCTTCAAAACCCTGAAAAATTTGAGTAGGGTTTAGTGATTTAGGATTTGCTTGAGGGAAATCTCTCATTTTTGAGGTACCTTGATTTTTTGAATGAAGTACTTGCTTTCGATTCGTAAATTGATGCTCTTTTTCTTCTGGGGTTGTGAAACGTTTTTTTGTTTTTAGCATTTTTCATTTGTTTATGTAATGATCGAATGCTGCTGATGGGGTTTGTTGCGCATTTCTTTTTGGTGCACATGGGCTCTGTTTGGGCGATCGAGATGTGTTGAATTTCTGTATAACAGAGTAAAACTTCTGTTTTGGCTGAATATTTTATGAAAATGTGGAAGTTGGCTGAAGACCAAAAGGTGCTTTATGCTTTTGCTGCAGTAGGATGCCTTACAAAGAGACGAAAGAAATAAAGAAAAAATTCAGTAGGATTTCAACAAGATTGGTGCTTTATTTAATTAATTTGTTTTGCTGTGCAGAGAGAGAAGGAAGAGCTTCATAAACTGATAATTGATTTGGAGGCTAAACTTGATCAAAAGCAAAAGCTTGAGTTGGAAATAGAGCGCCTGAAGGGCACTGCAGAAGTAATGAAGCACATGGATGAAGAAGGTGACAAGGAAGCTGAGAACAATATGAATTCAATTGAATTAGAGCTCAAAGAGAAGGAAGAGGAACTTGATGCTTTGGAGGCAATAAATCAAGCTCTCATTGTCAAGGAGAGGAAGACCAATGACGAAGTGCAGGAAGCACGCAAGGAGCTAATAAATGTATGACTTCTTTACTATTCTTCTTTAAATCCTACCCTCTGTTGCTCAGTTATATGTCTATAAATGGTTTTCTTTATCCAACCATACCTGATATTTTACTTTAAGAATGTATTTATCTTCCTGTAATTACATGAGGGATAATATGGATTAAGAAGACCAGAATTGTATATAGCTACGTGCCTATAAATATGTCAATTTCTGTACCCTTTAGTATTACGGGAAATTTTCTCCTTGAGGCAATCTGTGTTTTCAGAATAGAATTCTCCTTATGGAAGAAGTATTTAGAGATAAGAATATATGCCCATTTCAATTCATATGCTTCAGTATTTTCTATCCTTTTCTTTATAGATAAGTTTGCCTAGATGAGATAATTATTGAATTGAAGGGTTTAAGTGAATAAAAACAGAAGAATTTGCTGCAAATCCAAGGAGTATACAATTATGTTTGGCCACTCTGCTAGATATAATAACTAAACACCACAGGAAGAGATTTCTGAGTTTCTTTTCCTTTGTCTTCTTTGTGTTGTGCTTGGGATTAGTTAAATGATCAGGCTCTACGGTTCTAAAAAAAATGTTATTGGTAAGATTACGCTTCTACTTTATTCCAGTCCAATGAGTGCTAATCTAATTGCAGACGTTGAAATGCCTTTCCATTATTCATGCAATAATTACATGAAATGCCTTTCTATGGCATCCTTTTAATCAAGCTAAAAGAAATGGGGGACTACAAGAGGTAAACATGTTAGTGTACACTGGCAGTTTCCATTTTTTTCTTTTTTCTTTTGGCTGTTTCCTTTTCTTGTCCCTTGTATCACATAAGTGTTATTTCTGCAGTTATTTTAGATCAGAAAACAATTGAATAAGAAGGTGGTGTGGACTGGTGCGTTGTGGGTCCCCTTTAGAAACTCAACTCTTGATGTAGGGCTAGTATGATGGTGGTCTCTATTTGATGGCTAGTGGGTGAATCTGTACTTAAGTGATGTTTGCCTAAATGCAGACTGCAACATCAAATCCTTGCATCCTCAAGAACAATTCATAAGAAAAACATTCTCAAATTGAATCTGTGGTTGTTAGAGGAGACTACATAAAAATAATTCTTGACTTCAATGTTCAGGTGTATCTAAGCTAATAGTTAGACTCTGATTCTAAGAGGATATTAAAATCCTAGTGTTATTCATCAAGAATCAGCTAAATTTTCCAACAGGAGCTGCGGAATACCAACATCCCTTTAATGTGAAAACTTGTAAAACACTTACAAACCATGATCCTAAACTAAGATTAATGCTTATGCCTTACTTTTTGTTAAGATTAGCTGATAGTTGCAGTGTGTGTGCATGGATGGATGTTGTCTCTTCTGTTAGACAAATATTTGGCATTAGACTACTTTGTTTGGTTTGAAATGGGCTATGAAAAAAAAAGTAAACGAGACGTGTGAAGCAGTGTGATGCTCAAATATTTGCAAGAGCTAATTGGTTGTGAACCACATATATTGTGCAGGGGTTGAAAGATAGCCGTGCATTTATACATGTCAAGAGAATGGGAGAGCTGGATGAGAAGCCATTTCACAGTGCTGCTGAGAGAAAATTTTCTCACACTGAAGCAGCTGAGAAAGCAATTGAATTGTGTTCCTTGTGGGAAGATAACCTTAGGGATCCAAGCTGGCATCCATACAGGGTCATCATTGATGGAGAAAATGCCAAGGTATGTGTGGTTTAATAGCCAAGTCGAGATGTATCTAATCTCTGTTATTCCTGCACAGCACCTCTTAAAGGCGACTTGACGTGCTGCTTACCTGCTGGAATGTTGGTTTACAGATTGGCTTTGAGTTGGTTATGGTTTATTTCCTTACCTTTCATATTGGCTGTTGCAATTGAATCTATGATTCACTCATATTTAATCACCATTTCCATTGCCTATAGAAGAGAGAACATTTGGCTCCCTTCGCTTCCATTTTGTGGACATATTTATGATTACTTACTCATGGATGCATTTAAATTACAATTCTTTTGTTTTTAATTTGATCTGTCCTTTACTGTAATTTTATGAATTTTCACCTTTAGAATTTATTGTTGAGAATATACAGGGTTTAGGAAAATTTTAGTTGCCGATTTACCTTTAGAATATAAGAATGTATGTAAACCTACCTGTACATCACATCAAACATTATTGTGTTTGAATTAAACTATTGCTTTCTTTCACTCCTCATGAATAAACATCATATGCCTCATCTATCTACCCCATCTTAAACCTGTATTTTCTGGAAAAAGCAATAATTATTTAATGAAAATAATCTCTTCAAGTTGCTCCTTATATCTTTTGGGAGTAACTTAACAGCATCCACGATGTGTTGCTTTAAATATTTCAAAAGAAATACAAGTGTTAAGGACATCCTTAGTTTTGGTTAATGTGATGGTAGTCATGCCCCCATTTAATTTTTAGGAACGAAGGGTGGCGAAAACCTCTGTTATTGACTGTTTCACATTGCAGTGAACTCCGAATTTGCTCCAGACCTTTGCCTAGTTTAGTTGTTGAATCATCTTATTTGTCTTTCCATGTGCTTCACACCAGGGGGGGAAAACACAAGCCCCCGCGGCCCAGGGGGGGTGGTTTGCTTAGAAAAATAAAATGCATCTATTGATGTGTTTGTACACATGAACCCACTGAACTAAGTTTCTCAGCTTGTTACAGTGAATCATTTAACTGATCAAGGTACATAGGCTGATTGCTGAACATTTTCATGAAACGTTGTTCCTTTTATTTAAATCAACATCTTCATAAGCTCTTAATAGTGAACAAAATATGATGTGTTAGTTGCAGCAAACAGATTCATGAATTGACCATAGGTTACGCATATGTTTGGCGTTCGAATAGATAAATTAAATGTTTTCCTGGTTCACTGAAGAACCCTCCAGAAGGATTTGTAACAGATTCCAGCATGATGTAACACAATCCCCTCTGACCAAGTAATGTATACAGGAATAGTAGATTGAGGAATGGATTTAATTTTGTGGAGGGGAGGGGAAGGAGAAAAGAGACTGTTGGCTTTAATTCTCCCCTTGTTAGTATCAGGGAATTAACATTGTTTTTCGAATAATAATTTTCCTGATGATGTGTATATTATTGTTTTAAATGACGTCATAAATTTCATATACATTTATTTTGCACTTGAATTTTCTTGCTATGGGAAGAACAACCTAAGTCCGCTGAGGCAATCCTCTTTGCCTTTCGGTTTTCCTAACTTGGTTGATTTCATTGAGTCTGAACATGCAGGAAATAATTGATGAGAATGACGAAAAGTTGAAAAGTCTAAAGGATGAATATGGAGACGAAGTGTACCAGGCTGTTGTTAAAGCTCTAGATGAAATGAATGAGTACAATCCTAGTGGAAGATATCCTCTGCCTGAACTATGGAATCTAAAAGCAGGAAGAAAAGCATCTTTAAGAGAGGGAGTGGAGCACATATTAAAACTCTGGAAGGTTAACAAGCGCAAGAGAGCTACGTACACTTGAGGAGATATGGATATTCATTTTGGGCTTTTTGTTTCTGTTTAATGCGCATTGAACGAATGGATAGGAAGAAAAGATAGACTGTACGGGGGAACTCTGAACATTGGCTAAAAATTTCAATGTCATGTTAGAGACTAATTTTCAGTTGCTAAATGGTTAATGCTTTGAGTGCAGTCTCTTGTGTGGGTTTTTCTAATTTTTGAATCCGATATCTTGCTTTGTTGTATTAAAGTCATCGGAGATTTTAAAAATGAATTATTTAAAGCAATGTCATGGAGGCCGTGAAGTAAAAGAAATAGACCGTAGACAGATTCTTTCAAGGTTTGAAAGAGGAAATATGATGAGTTCTTGCTCAGGCCGTTGAGGATTTTCTAGGAAAGTAAACAGAAATGCTTTTACAAGCTTCTTTATTATTGATTCTTTTTTATTTGTAAATGCTGAGAACATCACCCATGTGCTTTTTTTTTGTCGAAACGATATGTGATTTTATAGATGAAAAGAACCTTTACAGTTTCAAGTAAAGACTTGATCGAACTTTACAACCAGTGCATACTAACACTGAGGAATCCAAAATTCCTGATCTACAACAAAGTCTAGCGCTTGCACGCTTATCCTATGAGTTATATGGTTAAGATTCCTATTAATTAAACAAAAGGAGCACATACGAAACAAGGACTTAAGACTATAGATATCCTCCATCAAGGTGAGCATTCGCATTTCCTGAGATTTCCTTTGCTTGAGGAGAGTGAACGTTACCTTGTTCTGGATTTGCACTTCAATCTTCTCCAACTTCTGGACAGCAGCTTTACTCATCAATAGTTTGATAGCTATGAGCTCATCCAGGACCTGGTGTCCAGAACTTCGTTCTTGCAACGTCCACCCTCGTATCATGCTTTGATTGTCCCTTGTTATAGTGACACCTATCCCAAATTTAGGGGTGTATTTGCTCTTTTGTATTGCAAACCTTAGTGTCATGAGGCCATGTGCTTGATCATACAGAACTTCAATTATGCTTTACGAGAATCATAACCAATGTTTGTCCCGATACAAGTTAATTTAGTCAGTTAGGACTGATCACTTCTTTATGAAATACTATGTATTCGAATTCAGTTGCTAACTAGTTTTGTACCCGTTCGTTGAACGGGAATCGTCGAAAAAAAATAAACTATTTAGTCAATTTTATAAAAATGTCGATATAAAATACAAATTTAATATATAATCTATAATAACTTGCCTTAAGTGTATTACTATGTGCGTATTGTAATATAAAGTATTCTTATAATATAAATTTGAACATCAAATTCAGTGAATAATAATTCAAAAATGAAAAAAATAAAATTCAACAATACCATAACATTCAAAAACTTGAAAATAAATAAAAGTGCAGTAAATAGTATTAAATAATATTCTACTCTTCAGAAACTTGTTTTGTTTTTCTTCTATTTGAATATTTTCCTCGATTTGTCCGTGCAACTCAGCATTTATTGATTTTCCATTATCACTGCATGATAGTAAAGCAGGATTTAATTAGCCACACTATTTATGGTATTTGATGTATTAAAGTGGGTAATAATTTTATAGTAAATTGTATTTGTAGACTTAGTTGACTATATATTATGCCCATGAATATCTTGTTGCGTTAACCCTTGAACACCAACATACATAAATTTCGCAAAAGGAACCAAAATAAAATTTTCCCTTTGAGTTCATGATCACTCGAGAGGCATAGGTTAAATGTTTATAATATGAATATTTAACAGCAGTGTCAGACATAGCAAAAAAAAAAATCAAGTAACTAACAGCAATAATAGCTAAAGACACAAATTTCGTGAAGAAATATCTTAGTCAATTGATTATTAAAAATTTAAGAACAGCATGGGACATAATCAACAATGGCATTTACTTCCATAAAATTCTTACATCTGAAGAGGAATATAGTTTTTAAAAAAAGAATCTTTTGGCTCGTTGAAAACAAATTTCATTACAAAAATTCTGGACAACAAAACCCATGAAAATTTATATATATGAGGCGAAAATTTGATTAAAAAATATTAAGAATTCTTATAGGAAATAAAGCCACAATCGTGCAAATAATTATTTTTTTTAAGAAAAGATGATTTATTAATTGAAATTAGTTACTTTTCTACTTCTTGTAGTGATAACAATTTTTATCGGACTAAGAATTGATATATCTTAGTATGATTGATATATCTTATCGGACTAACAATTCTTATCGGACTAAGAATTGATATAAACCCAAATAAAAAAAGAGCAAGCCACGTAGAAAACTATTTGTCGTCTCATTAAGCCACGTAAGAAAGAAAAAATATGAATCAATAAGAATGAGAATACGACTTTATTATATATATATATATATATATATATATATATATATATATGATGATTGTATTGGCAAGCGATCAGGAAGAATCGAATTCAGTTGCTAATATGATGATTGTCTTGGTAAATGATCAGGAAGAACCTCAGGCATATGGTCCTAGTGATATGCAATCAAAAACATTTGGATAAGCTAATTTTCATAAACCATCACTGTGATTTCCAATAGTTGATGGCTGATAAAGCTAATTTTCCCTAATTGTCACCAACAAATAACACCATCATTCTAAAGTTGAAGTAATGATGCGTATACATCCTCAACTTGAATGCATGATACAATGTTCCTTTCCCTAAACATCACCTTAAGACTGATCAAATGCTAAAATGATTTCTCTTTTAATCATGATATGATTTTGGCAAACTTTCTTTCCAGTCCCTTTCTTTTCTTTCCTTTTCTCAGCTTCCAAAAGCTGTATAAGCAAACCAAATCGGTTTTAGGTTGTCAATCATGCTCCCTTTCGAAGTAATATACATTTGTTGTAAAATATATAGTATTTCAAAATTATTCTTTGTCCCACATCGAAAAAATGAGAAGTATTATTTTCTCTGTCCCACATTGAGAAGTGAGAAGGGTTGCAGTCTTTGTCCCACATCGGAAGTGAGAAGGGTTGCACCTCACTCTGAAGTCTATAAATAGGATCCACTTCTCCCTCAGAAAATCACCCCAGCAGCTTCAGTTAATATCTTTTGATAGCTGCTCTATCTCTCTCTCTCTCTCTCTTTCTCTTTTATTTTTTGTTAGTTGATATCTTCCTGATAATTCTGTTCTCATCTTCTGTTTTATATATATATATCTGCTGGTTTTAATTTGCTAGTTCTGGTCCTTCTAGTTTGCAACAAGAAGAAAGGTTGTCTTTCTTGTTCGCAATAAATAGAAGAAGGCTTGTTTAATCATGGGGAAATATTTCAATACTCTGAAATAGTTTCTTAGTACAGTGCTTTCTAGCACGACTCAAGCAGATAGTGTTAACATTGTTGTAGCCATTTATCCAACAATCTAAGAAACTATGGCATCTGACAATGTTAGCACCCCGCAGCCTTCATCAGCAACTGTTGCAGTGGCACTACCATTCGCCAAGCCCTTTCCAGATGTATCCAAAATTAAAATTTTCGCCAATGAAAATTTTAAAAGATGGCAAGAACGTGTGCACTCTCTACTTGACATTCATGGAGTAGCTTATGCGCTCACTGAATCTCAACCTTCCGCAACTGCGAATGCCAAGACTCAAGAAGCATGGCAATATGCCAATAAGGTATGTCGACACACTATCTTTCAAACACTCTCTAATGAATTATTTGATGTCTATTGTAGCAGCAAAGAAGCCAAGGCAATTTGGGAAGCCTTGGTAACAAAGTTTACTGCCGAAGATGCAACCAAGCAAAAATTCGTCGTAGGAAAATACAACCAATGGCAAATGACTGATGACAAGGAGATGAAAATCCAAATCACCGAATATCAAATGCTGCTAGAGGACTTGAAAAATGAAGACATCAATCTTCCTGAAAAATTTGCTGCAGGCATGCTGATTGAAAAGCTACCTGAGTCATGGGCCGACTATAAAAACAACTTGAAACACAAAGAGAAAAATTATACCATGGATGAGCTCGTGAAGCACATCCTCATTGAGGATTCAAACAAAAGGGAGTTGAGAGCTACCAAGGCAAAGGAGATGGCTTACAAAGCCAATCTGGTGCAAAGCAATAATAAAAGGTACGCCAATAAATCCCAGAATTACAAGCCCAAAAATTTTAATGTCAAGCCTAACAATCCCAACTTTAAGAAGAAGAAAGGCAATTGTTTTTATTGTGGAAAACCAGGACATTATGCAGTCCAATGCAGACATAATAAAGGTGACAGAGCAAATGGTAACCCTCCTAAGGTGCACTTAACCGAAGGAGATGATATAATTGCTGCTGTCATCTCCCAAGTGAACATTGCAGCCAATGTCAAAGAGTGGGTGGTAGACTCTGGGGCTACTCGGCACATATGTGCGAATCGAGAAGCATTTTCCTCCTATACTCCTATAGGGGATGATGAAGAAGTGGTCTACCTTGGTGACTCACGAACGGCTAATGTTCTGGGTAAGGGCAAAGTATTCTTGAAACTCACTTCAGGAAAAACTTTGGCTCTCAATGATGTGCTGCATGTGCCCAACATTCGGGCAAATCTGATTTCCGTAGCATTGCTAGGAAAAGTTGGAGTGAAAGTGTCATTTGAATCTGGAAAGATCATAATGACCAAAAATAATGTATTTGTGGGCAAGGGCTATTGTAATCAGGGACTTTTTGTACTTAATATTTCCAATGTGATCAATGAAAATGCATCTTCTTCTGCTTATATTGTTGATTCCATTTCTTTATGGCATGCTAGATTAGGACATGTTAATATTGGTTATATAAAGAAAATGCAATCATGTGGCCTAATTTCTGGTATTAATGATAATATGGATAAATGTGAAATATGTGCAGAAGCTAAAATAACAAAGAAAAGTTGTATAACTATCCATAGAGAAACTGAATTATTAAATTTAATTCATACTGATTTAGGTGATTTAAAACAAACAATTACTAGAGGTGGGAAAAGGTATTATGTCACATTTATAGATGACTATTCTAGATATACCAAAGTTTATTTACTTAGAAATAAAGATGATACTTATAATGCCTTTTTATCCTATAAGTCTGAAGTAGAAAATCAACTTAATAAAAGGATAAAAAGAATTAGATCAGATAGGGGTGGAGAATATTTAACTTTAGATAACCTTTGTGAACAGGAAGGCA